TTTTGCTTATTTGTTTTTTGATCAGCTCAGCCAACACTGAGGGTGGGACTGGTTCAGCTTGTGGTATCCCGGGGATCAAACCACATTTCCCTGAAGTCCCCTGGGCCTGCCTAAGTTTGCCTCAGCAGGAGCTTTAGACTCCTGAGCTATCTCGCTGGCCCCTGTATTTGTAATTAGAGAGTAATTTGGGATTCTCTTTGTCCACAGCCACAGGAGGGCCATGTTGTAATGATGAGCACATGGCTTAATTCCAACAAGCGATAAAGCCCAGAGCTCCAGAGCTGCACACTGTTCCATCTCTGCTGGAAATGGCATGAAAGGCTCTGCTTTCCACATAAAACTGGTAAGACAGTGGAGAAAATGTTTACTGCTTTGACTTTAAGCTTGAGCATTACCTATTCAAAAATGCTCAAATAGATTTAGAGAAAAGTAAGATAATTCTAGGCTCTTCTGTGTCCTTGGAGAAACATTTAACATTATCTAATCATTTAAGGTTAATATTCTACTGGTTTTTCTTGAAATAGAATAAATAACCATGAAACTAAAGATTTATTATTGAAAATAAGCATAAAAGTACAGCAACTCTGCATTTATAAAGAAGCACTTAATCCCATACAGCAAATTTCACATACTGCCATTTAGTATTATATGAGCTTAATTGAAAAACATTAAAATTGAAAGTGACATTGCTATTATTCAGTTTTAAGTCTTGCTATAATTTATGTTAATAATGTAAGTTTACTACTTAAGATTGCTTTTAGAATTTTAATGGAACAAGGCTATACAGTATGTCCATATCTACATCTCAGTTCTCATCTATTCAAAACCTGTATGTCATCTTCAAGTCAGAAACCCTCACTCAACATTTTTTCAATAGCAGTAACTATCTTCCTTTTCATTCGAAGAGAGAATGGGAGACATTGGGTGATAATTCTGTGACATAATTCTCCACCAAGCTATCCATTTGATCTTCGGTATCAATGAAAATGATAGTCCTTATCCTTTTGAGAGATAATTAAGATGCTGACTTACATTTAATCACCTAATACTTTGTTAAGGATCTTTACATATCTATCAATTAATCCCTTTCAATGCATATTTTCAATCTCTATGGACATTGTTCATATTTGGTTGATAAATCTATTCATTTCTGTAAGTTTTTGACCTTTCAGATATCTTCCATTCACCCTCCTCCTTCTTTAATCATGGTTTATTTCTCTTCTTGATTTCACACCCAAGTTTCGGGAACTAAAATGTACAGTTTATCCACTAATTTTCCATTCATTCTCCAAGCCACTGTCACAGCTTGTCAGTTTTAACCCCTAAAACTTACCTGCTTGTTCCAGGTTCAGTAACAAATCTAAGTCATACCTGAATTTTTTAATCTTATGATCTTGGCTCAAGCCCTTGGACACTGTCATTCATGCAAAACCCAGTCACAATCTTTTGGGTTCTATGGTTCCCATAAAGTTTCCTGTTCTCTTTTTTTACTGGATATAGTCATTTCCAAAAATTTCTAGAGTTCTGTCTTCATTGGTTTCACAAATCTATTTTCTAAAGTATTTCTCCCATATTATTTAATTAAAAGGATACATAAGCAAAAATTTCTTTTACTGGCAAAAATATAGACTCATTTCTAGAAATTCACGCATCTAGGACAACCACAAACACAAGTGAGTTTCTCTTATTCCTTTCACAAAAAACATATTCAAAATTGAATGCACTGATTTTTATCTAGCCTTATACAGAGAATCTGGTAGAACTTAAATGTATAACAATATAAAATAGTTATCAGAATGTGCAAAACTAATATAAAATATTTTTCTTAGGTTTAAGAATTAAAAGCTTTATAAATCTGCTAAATGTCCCTAACTATGGCTGGAAAATGAATATCAGAATTTAATTTAGAGTTTAAATGACAAAGACCTTATCCGTTTCCTTGGAAAATTATCTTCTCAAAACTAACTAAATATTTTTGTATAACACTATTATTTGTTACTTTTTTCGTTATATAAAATCAAAATATTTTATTTTATTTCAAGAAGTTGTCATTTTTTAGAAATGAAGGGTTTTTAAGAACGTCATTATAAATCATCCTTTGTTTAGAAAATGTAATTCATGACAATAACATTCATTTATGTTCATATCTGTAAGAAATGGGAAGGTGGCATAAGTACCCTAACCTTTTAGGTTAATGATCTTTTGACTTTATTTTTTTCAAATTTAAAATACTTCTACAGAATTAAGTCTACAATAAAAATAAAATCACTCTATTTTCCTAGCATTACATTTTGTATATAAGTTAACAAACAGGTTTCTATGGTATACAAGATGTCTGAAAGTGTCAATGTATATTCCATTGTTCCTACCTAAATTTCCTCCACTATATTCCCCTTACAGGGTCCTCAGAAAAAACTACGAGTCAGTAAGTAGTCTCAAAACTCAAAATCTTAGTATTTTTTTTTAAAGGAACAGCGAGGTATTGTGGCACATGCTTTAATCCTAGCACTCAGGTTGAGGCTGGGGGATTGCCATGAGTTCAAGACCAGCCTGGGTTACAAAGTGAGTTCAAAGACTAGCTGAACCACATAGCAAATCTCTGCATAAATAAACAAATTAATTGATTAATTAATGGGAATATTTAACTCAGAATTTCCCTCGCATGCTCTGCAAAATAATAAACAGACTTTAAAAAGGATTCTTTTGGCAAATTAGTAATTTCTTTAACCAAAATTTCCCATAAATAGTGCTATTGTAATCATGGTTGCATGAGTGGTCAAGGAATGGAACAGAATTATATTCATTTAAACTTTTGCCAGTTAAAATTAGCAAGATTGGCTCAGAAAACCACTACTGCAAATACTGCAATGAATGTAATTCTGGTGTCTAAAAACAAGTAGGAATAGGGTTTTTTTATACACAACCTAAGCTAATAAATAGGACATCTGAAATAACCAAAGATATAGTAAGCTTGAACAATGTGGGATTAAAAATAGCTGCAACAAATTATGTTTATACTATTTTATGAGCAGCAGAGGACTTTTCAAAGGCAACTCTGTACATAAATTTTCTACCTTTCACAATGATTTCAGAACCAAACAATCAAAAAGATATATGTACTTTTTGAACACAGAACTATTTTCTACAAATATCTCACAGAATATTACACAATACACACTCTGGAAAACTGACTTCACTGTACAAAGTAAACACTCAAGTTGAATATTATCAATTTTAAGTGGCAGCACTCTGAAATTATGATTTAAATTTTGTATAGTAATTTGCTTTCAATAATTTGAAAAAGTTAAAGCTTTCTAGCATAAAGATGTATTTACTAGAATCATATAATAAAAATATTACCTCAAATTAAAAGATTCATTATACTCAAAGTTATGGGTCAAATTGAAGAGATAAAGTTGTCAAAATAATATTTCAAGACATTTTTGTAACATAAAACCTAATTCTAACAGCAGATATAAAATGCTCTATTAATTTAACCAATGAAATTAAGCAATCTACAGGCTAAAATAGCACCCATGACAATTTCATTTTTTTTCTGTTTCCATAGCCATAACCTAAATGCAACTCTCACACTCTTTGTAAAAACCAGCTGTAATCATGCTCCATAATCAAAACCATCAGTGGCTACCTATCATACACTCATTTGTCTGACTCCTTAAAATCAGGACTTAATGTCATCTATAATCTGGCATCAACCAACCTCAAAATTTGTATCTCTCGGTTCACATTCATTTTGCTTTTCAACAAAAATTTTGGAGCTTCTAGCATGATTTAGGCAGCATAGTAAATTCTGAATTACTCGGCAGCATTGCTTTCAAAGGTTAGCTAGCTTAAGTATCTCTGAAAGGAGACAAGGTCCCATCTCCAGAGCTTGTGATTCAACTGGATGGTGTGATTTCTAACTCTTTTTCAAGTGCTGCTGCTGCTGCTGTTGCTCCAGATCTATACTGGAAACATTGCTCCACTCATATATGTACATAAGCATGTATATTAGTACATATGCATATATAACTATTAAATATACACATACACTGTAGGAGCTTTAATAATATATCTGCTCTAATTTTGCAAGATAATAAAGAGAGGCGAGTCAGGTGTGGTAGTGCGTGTCTATAATCCCAGCACTCTTGGGCTGAGAAAGGATTACCTCAAGTTGGAGGCTTACCTGGGCTACACAGTGAACTCAAAGTTTAAACTGCACTGTGACACTCTGTCTCAAAATGTAAATAAATAACTAAAGGAGAGATAGGCTAATGATACAATTCCCTTGACTTTATAACCTAACAATCTATAAAACAATTTAAATGAAATAAATTCTAATTTCAATTTGGAGAATGCTTTAATGGACTAATCCTTCTTTACAACAAATGGGGAGAAAAACTGACCAAAAAAATATTGGTGTCCTTGTTCTACCATACTTTTGTTACCGCAAGTTCCTCTGGGACTTCAGTTCCATTACTTCTAAACTGAAAAGAGAAAAAGACTTTTCCAGACATCTTCCACCTTAAAAATCCAAACCTCAATCCTTCAAAAAATAAAAGCAATAAAAAAAGTCCACACAGATTTAGCTTCTTGCTTGGGCTAATTTAAAACCTATAATCCCAAAACTCACAAAGCTGAAACACAAGAATCTAACTTTGAGGCCAATGTCATAAGCTCAAAGTAAGTTCAAGGCCAGCCTTGGCTACATAGCGAGGTCTCAAAAAAAAAAAAAAAACTAAAACAAAAAATTTTAGGAACAGGGATATAGTTCAGCAGCATAAAAGCCTGCCTGGCAAGTGCTAGGTCCCAACTTCAATCTTTAGTACAAAAAAGAAAAAAAAAAAGAAAGAAAAGAAAAAATATTAATTAGTTTTCAAAGTTCTAAGTAAAAATAGTGAAGACTCACAACTTTCAAAGAAATTGCACATTTGTACGCAAACTTGTGTATATTCTAATGATGAAAATTTAAAATCTCTTGTAAGATTATCTATCTTAGGAAAAAAAGAGGAAAGACAATGAAAAATATTACCACAGAGATCAATCACTAAGTCTGAATATCTAAAAAGAATATTAAATTTAAAAATCATGTCAAAATTCAAAAGGAAAATCATGACAAAATTATTCACAATAGATATCAGCATTATTTAAGAACATGCATTCTGCTTTAGGATAATCCCAAATTAAAGTATATTTGGCCAAAACTGAAATTATCTAATTGTAAGATTGCAAAACAAACTTAGTGACTAAAATATTCAGGTAGATCGTGTCACAAGCGAATTGCTCTCAGCTTCTCCACCTCAATTTTTGTTCCTAGTAGCTCTTCCTCTAGCTGCTGCCTTCTTTTCAGTCCATCCCTCTTCTAAACATATAATCCAATTTTTTATTTTCTAAAATTATCTGATGCTCTTCTTTCAACATTTGCAGGATCTGAGTATCCTGACAATGACCTAATGTGTGCTCCACTCTCATGATGAAAACAATTATCTCTCCTTGGAAGAGAAGATGGAGATCATGTCATTCTAATATCAACAGAGGAAAGTGATAGTGACAAAGATCTTTCCATAACATGTATTAATTCATGTTCTTCTCTTTGCTCTAAAGTATTACTAGGTTGAGGATTTAAAACCAGTGGAGGAGGTGGTTTAATATCTTCTTCTTGCTTTACATCCACTGTAATAACAACAGGATGGTGATCCAACATTATCTATTATGTATGTGGTTCCTGTCTTTTATCAGGCAAAAACTGGAAATCCGGGGAATCATCTCCATAACTTTCTTAGTTGGCTAGGAAATATTGCTTTCAAAATCTGACTGGGCCTCCTTCTGCTGCAATAGCTCCTGTTTGGCATATTCTTTGAGCCTTTTGTAAAGAGTTTACAGTCTCTGCACTGTTCGAGGAGGGCAGTCTACTCCAATTGCATTATAGTTAACTGCTATGATATCCCAGCATCTGTTCTTTTCCACTATTACTGAATGTTTATTGGTGTGTTCTTCAAGAATTTTCATGTATGGCTTCCCAAGCTTTAGTGAATCAAGCTTTTCAGATAAGGTAAAATGGAAAGATCTAGCTTTTCTTACCATTGTTCTTTTCAAATTAAGTAGGCAGTATCTGAAAACACCATGCAGCTTTCAGCTCTGCTCAGCTCTTTTCCATTTGCTTTTACAGGAGGTTAAAGTTGTGAAAACAAATGCTGCAAATCCAGGACAACATGAAGCTCCTAAGCAACTTGACATCTACATCTCCAACCTTCTTGCTGACTGCCATTCCTGGCCTCCAGTCTGCCCATGCCTGGATCTCCATTCTGTTCTGTTCTCTTTATGCCGTTACCCTCTCTGGAAACAGCTTGATCCTCTTCCTCATCACCACCCAGCACACTCTCCATGAGCCCATGTATTATTTCCTCTCCATGCTTTCAGCCACGGATCTGGGCCTGACGGTTTCTACGATGTCAACAACTTTGGGTATACTGTGGTTTGAGGCCAGAGAAATCAGTTTAGATGCCTGCATCATCCAGATGTTTTTCCTTCATGGATTCACCTTCATGGAATCTGGGGTGCTAGTGGCAATGGCTTTTGACCGCTATGTGGCAGTCTGTAACCCTCTCAGATATACTGCAATTCTCACTAATTTCAGAATCACTCAGATGGGTCTCCTGATGATTTTACGTACTGTAGTCTTAATATTACCACTACTTTTGCTCCTTAAGCCTGTCTCTTTCTGCAGAATGAATGTCCTTTCTCACTCCTACTGTTATCATCCAGATGTGATTAAATTAGCATGTTCAGACACTCGAGCAAATAGCATCTGTGGGTTAGTTGACCTTGTCTTTACCACAGGGATGGACACCCCATGCATCATCCTGTCTTATGTCTTAATTATTCACTCTGTCCTCAACATCACCTCTCCAGACGAACAGCTCAAGGTGTTCAGCACCTGTGTCTCCCATATAGGGGCGGTTGCTATATTCTACATCCCCATGATAAGCCTGTCTTTGGTTCATCGCTATGCTCACTCAATTCCCAAAGTGGTCCACTCAATGATGGCCAATGTATACCTGCTTTTGCCACCCGTGCTCAACCCCGTCATCTATAGTGTAAAAACAAAACAGATCCGCAGGGCTATACTTAGTCTGCTCCTTACAAAATAAACAGAATAAACCTGAAAAAAACATGATGTAGGTAATAATTTACTGTATTAAATAAAAACTATTAGGTTAATGTCACATTTTTCACCTATTCCACAGTATTTCATAAATGTTTTTCTGTGTTTATTTATAAACTGAAAGTATAATATGCAACCCAAGACTTTTATAGTTTAGTAAAGAAAATAGGAAAAATATAACTATTAAATAATGAAAGCAATACAAGAAATAATTTTCCTATTAATGCTGTGTTTTATTGCCTGCTTTTTTTTCTTTTAAATTTTATATATTTGGTACAGGGTCTCACCACACAGCTTAGACTAGTAGTGATTCTCCCATCTCAGCCTCTCCAGAGCTAGGATCACAGTTGTGCACCATCAGGCCTGGTTTTGTTGGCCAGCTCAACACATCTGGACAAGGCCTACATGACATGTGGTACCAGGGATCAAACCCAGATCGTTGCACTTTCCAGGCAGGCACTTAGACCACTGAGCTATCTCCATGACCCTATTACCTGCTTTAAGACTTACTTCACTTATTCTTCAAAATGTGACGAAGACACATATAATATCAATACTTACATTTTAGTTTTGAAGAAACTGTAGTTTACAGATATTTAGACCATCGAAGGAGATGCAACTAACATTAGTCAAACAAGATTTTAACCCAGGCTTCCTGTATCTTGGTCCCCATATTCTTCATATCCACAGGAAGCATTAGAATATTGTAGGATCAAAATAAGACCTGGCCCTCCAGGAAATGAAAAGAGAATGGAATAGAAGGAAAGGAAAGGGAAAAGAAGGGGATGGTGTAGTGGTTGATACATTGTGTCAACTTGGCTGGATGACTCACAAGCAGGTTCCCGCCAGTGGGGGTCCCACGCTGGGGCACAACTGGTTCTGCCTCCAAGTGACTCAGCACAAAAAGACCATATAAATGGGCTGAGGAAGGAGTCAATGTTCCACTTCCTCGGAGGATCTTCAGTCTTCTTGTTCTACTTGGACTTCATCGCCTGGCTTGCAGCACAGACCCTTCAGCCTCCAGCTTGGATCCTTGGCCTTCCATCGCAGACTCTTCAGTCTTCTGTTGCAGATCCACTAGCTAATGAATAGAGAGTCGCAGGGAGCACAGCAGTGAGCTTTCGACCTTGGGACTGAATTCTTCAGTCTGGGGTGTATAGACGCTTCCTGGGGTCTGCACGCTTCCTCATCCGACTCTGCAGCTGACTAGCGTAAGCCAATCCTGTAATTCCTCATATTATATCTGTTCCTCTAAGTAAAACCCTGACCAATACAGAGCGGAAGGGAGAGGAGGGGAGAGGAGGGAGGAGGAAGGAAGCGAGAGGAAGGGAGGGGAGAGAAGGGAAGGCAAAAGAAAACTGTAAGCATATGAAGACACAAATACAGCTGTACTTTTGCCTTATACTTATTTGTGTAACAATGTATTAATTCTTCTGGACCAAAAACAAATCTGGTCTAATAGGTAAAAGAAGAAAACTATGATATGTGTTTGTCAAAGCTGCTCTTCTGACTCCACTACCAAAGAAAGGAAGGACTCCTCGACATATTCTGTCCTCAAAGATCAAAAATTGGTCTAGTGAAAAAGGAAATGATATTATGCAACATATTCATCTATTTTCTACTTGTATCTAATATACTCCATATCTAATATAATATACTAGTAGCCAATAGTATAGATAGAAGCAGTAATAAAAATAACACTTAGATGAAACAGTCTTTGCAGACTTCCTGATGTGACCTAGATCTTACAACTAGAGTGCACAGAGTTTAACCATGATACATTCTTGTGATTAATATAGTTGCCTTTGGACCCAACAAGTAGCATTAGCTTCTAGATCTCTAACCCACCTTATCAAATTCAGTCATCCAAGCCACAAAATTGCATTAGCCAGCTCTCTAAAAATCAGCCTTTCTCTCAATATTATTCTCTCTCTACAAGCACACAGAAATTATTGGTTTTGTTTATTTGGAGAACCACAATTAATACATAAATAATAAATAAGGCTGAAAGCTGTCACATTTGTGATATGTAAGGCACTAGTTAGGTTGTTAATATCCATCATGACTAGATGCAAAAGGACAAACTAGAGGCTTCAATGTCTATCACATATAGTTTACAAGTCATTGAATAATATTTATATATATTTATATATATATCATATATATATATATATATATATATATATATATATATATATATATATATTGGGTAGGGCTGGGGATTTGGCTCAACGGTAGTAGAATGCTTGCCTAGAAAGCTGAAAGCCTTGGGTTCAGTCCTTGGCACCAAAAACAAAAAATAAAACCTCCCCAAAAGACAATTCAACCAAAAAAATACAGTAAAATCAAAAAAGACCAAAACCAAACAAGGCAACTATCTGTTTTGGACTTGATCTACCACTTTCAATATCTCCAGGAAACTACTGACTTGCCTACACTGAGCACAGCAGAGTGAAATAGTAGTTTCCTCAAGGAATTTGTGCAGTCCCTGAGGAAAATCATGATATACTGGGGTTTTCTATTAAAATTATCATTCATAAATATTAGAAAGTTTCCATGACTTTACTAATCCTAACACTCAGAAAAGTAACTAAACTGACATCAAAGCTAAGTCAAGGATTTGTTCTCAGACAACTGCTGCTTTTGTTTATAGTAAGATGACCTGATGTTTTTTATCATGAGCTAGTTAACATAGATGAATGAAAGGAAGAATTCCTTGGAAGTGAGGGTGAGGACACTGCAGGTCTGAACCTTCGGCTTTTCTCCTGGACTGTCACTGCTGGAGTCACCACCAGGCCTTCACACCTTGAACAGGAAGACGACTGCTGCTTCTCATTTCTGTCTTCTCGCTTTCAGGAGACTCACACTATTGATTTGTATACCGAATTCTTTTTTTTTTTTTAATATCTTTACTACTGGATCTACAGCGTCTCACCACCCAGATTGGATTCGTAATCATTCTCCTGTTTTCAGCCTCCCAAGAGCTGGGATTACAGGCACTCGCCATCACACCCAGTCTCACAGGCTTGGTACAGCATGCATATCGAACCCGGGGTGCGCTGAGACGCTGACTGAGACTGAGTCATGTTTTCACTAAGTCACTAAATTCCCAGGCTGGGCTCAAATTCTTGGTTCTCCTGCCTCAGCTTTCCAGTGTGCTGGGATGACAGATATGCAGCACTATATCCTACTGTACTGTCATTATTTTAAATTTTGTGCAAATGCAAATTTTTCTTCTCATATAAGAAAAATATAATATGCTTTACTTTATATATAAGGATATAGCTTACATATAAGGATAAAAGTGTTCCTAAAATTATGGTCTCTGAGGTTTACCTACTTGCCTAACCCATAATCAAAAGCAAATAATGAACTAAACCCTTGACTTTATTTTTATCATTAGATGTTTTAGATGTACAACCTGGCCCTTTAAGTCATCCCAAATATATGAGTCATTGAATGTATTTTCTTCTTTCCTGCCCCCTTCTGTACATATACCAACAGTTCTAACAAATCCTTCATTACCTAAATCAACAGTTTTCCAGGACACTCCTAAAAAGCAACTGTCAAGCAAATAGGTCTCTAATAAAATTGAGAAGTAGTACTCATCCATTGTCTCATTCCATTCTACAAATCTCTATTACAGTTGAGTGGTCTTTTTAGTTTTATTAAATTAAATTAATATATAAAATACATTCACATGTTAAATATATTCCATATAATCATCACTCAAAAAATATGGCCTTATAGACTTCTCCTTAACTCTTACATTAAATTGTTCACCAAAGCCAGACCCAAGACTTTGACAAAGGCGGCTTATTTTTGAAAAATATCTAGGAAAGTACAAGTGAAAAAAATGGGAAAGGGAGACTGCCACATGGGAAGGAAGCAAAGGAAGTACACATTAAGGGACATAACC